ATTCTTAGTATGAAATTTTGGCATGGAATTTTTTAAAAAATTAAATACATTTTTTTGTATGTAACTGAACATTTAAAATGAGGAACAAATGCACTTTTAGATAATTTATTTTTAAGTTATCTCTGATAACTGACTTACATTTAAGACTTAGTACTCAAGACTCCTATGGGAGATAACTGAATATTCTATATCTCTACAGTTTTTAAAGTACCACATTTAAGGTAACCAAGTTTCAAATTTTTAACTGAATTTTACAACTTTTAATTGGCATTGCAGGAGTGTCAAGCAGGTTCCGACTGTGTATTGGGTGTGCTTTTCATTATGGAAGAGAAACTTTGCTTCTGGATAACTTGAATTCTATTCATACATGAGGCTCAATATAACTTCAACACAGACTGATCTACTTATTACAATAATCTTCAGAGCTGCCTGTGATTAAACATGTCCTGATGTGAACTTTGTATTTCTTCTCCCGGCGTTATCATGATGAGAAATAGGAAAGCCTATTGTACTGCTCTAATTTAGGTATTGATTGCTACTGCAGCTAAAACCAGAAAAGTGGAAATATCTGCATGGTAATAGAAAGAAAAAAAAAAAAGGAAAAGAAAACAAAAAAATGAAAATGATAATTTGGTTTACTTTTCATTTAAAAAGCTATACTTTGACACTAGGAAACATGTTATTTAATAGTGGGATATTCAGTAAGATTAAAAACGTTTTCTAATATTTCGTAGAATAACAGGGGGTTCTTTAGCCTCCTAAAACCAGCAGCAGTCAGGTGAAGTTCAAATTCTGATAATAAACATTGAAGTCATTGCGCAAGGTGTGTGCTTCTGCCCTTTAGATGGTTACTAAGTTTCTCCTTTATACATACCAGAAAATAATACTTTTTGTAAAAAAAAAAAATTAAGACCATTTCCTTATAATTGTTTGAAGCTTTGAAATGCATTTCCCCTGTAACTCCTAGCGCAGGGTTTCAGCTGTCTGGGATCAGTGCAGCATGGCTCACTTTTACTATGAGAACTACTGTTGAAGTGGGAGAAAGTGTGACAGCAAAAGCCATGCAAGATCAGAAAAGCAGAATTACAGGTAGAAGAGTAATTTCTGAGACAAGGATGGTTAGCAGCTCAAGGGTTTAAGAGAAAAAAATACTGACACAGGAAGAAAGTCAGCAGCTTCTAAGGAGCAAGAGAGGCTGGACCTTTTTCACCTGACTGATAACTGCTGGATAGAAAAGACTCTTTGAGTACCTCATTGGGTGTGAGGAGTCTATTAATATATAGTCTCACAGTTCATTAGTCCCAGCTATCTACTTGTGCATTAGCTAACGCACGGCCATATTGTACTCTGAAGCTGTGACTATCCTGTTTAGATGTAGAGTTTCTTTGTGAATGACTAAAGTTGTATAAAATGTTCTGGAGAGGAAGGATGACATCTCCATAGAGTGAAATTTAAAACACACACCTCCTGATGTTGAATGCTTTTAAGGTTTGATCAATTTCTAGAAATTAACATGTATTTCACAGCATTAAGCTACTGTATCACAGACTAATTAATTAATTATATTTCATATTTCTTGCAAATATTTGTTATCTCAATCTAGACAAGCTAAAAAAGTACTTTGAAGAAAAAAAAGGAAAGAGAAGTGGGTCATTATATTTCCCCAGAGGAAATAAATATAGGAAAATAATAATTTGGCGAAGTTTCTCTTGTCACAAAGCCATCTTTTCATACAGTTTTAAAGGACAGTCCAGATTAGGAATGAACAAGGCCAAGATTTTAGAATAAACGTCTTCTGGAACTGTAGTGGTGAGGCACACGCACTCAGCAATTACAGAAACTGAACCAGGACACAGACCTGCAGCCTTTAGAAACCAAGTTATTTAAACATAAGAAAACAAACAAAAGGCCCCCAGCAATGACTGATTGCTTGGCAAAACAGGTTAAATAATTTGCTGTCACAACTTGGTCCCCTTAAGCAGACTCAGACAGAGTTCAAAATCTTTTGGCAGACTGATAACAGATCTCTTTACCCTGTGGGTTATTCTCTAAGGTTACAAGCAAACAGAATTGCTTCTGAAAGAGGATAAACAGTACTTAGAAACACAAGTTCTTTCTGTTTTCATGTCATTAAGTTCCAAGACTGGGCACATCCACTGAGGCTGGTCTTTCTCTAGTATTGTGTGATAGGGAATTCTTCATCAAATAGATTGGTCTTTCATGCTTAACCAAATATTTCTCAGTAAATGCTGTTCTTTGAAGTATGCTTGCAGGTGAAGAATTTCATATTACATTATGTATGCACCAGTGCATGCATAGTTTATGCATACTTCTGGCTTAGTGTAAAGGCAGCAAATAATTTAAATTCCTTAAGAAACGGAAATATGTTAAGTCTTCAGCTGGAGGGTGTATAAGATCTCTACCTCAGCAGAATATTCATTAACAGAATAGATTTAAAAAACAAAGCAAGTTATCTATGAATATGAGAGGGTACGGACAAATATTATGACCTGTGTTAGCTGGAGATTTGCTGTTTCCTTTCAGTTGTAGGTTCTTCAACAGAGAACCAGCAACCTATAGAAAATCAGTGCCTGTTCAGCAATCACATAAAGAAATCTTCTAAAGGAAACAGTATCTGTATTTGTAGCAAGCTCTCTGCTGAGATGTCAAAGCTGAAGATGAGAAGCCCTCAGCCTAGGAATTCATGTGTAACTTGGACACTGGCTCCCTGCTAGCTTTGGAAATACATAAACTGAGCTCTCCTATTGCAACCTAAACAATGATACGGACAATGTTTCCCACTACTGTAGAATACATCCACTGGAGAATGCTGTAACTGCTGAATTGTCATTCTCCTTTTTCTTCACATACCTCCACGGGTTATTCATTTCACTGCTAAAACACATGGACCCAGACTTTTACTAGGTAGCTGTCAAACCATGGATTTTTTGGGGCGTAGCTTAAGAAAACAATCCACAAAAACACACACACCCCAAAAAACCCCAACAAACCACACTCTCAATGTTTTGAGATATCAAAGGTTGCTAAACAAAGCAGATGTCTGAACAAATCTTAATGCTTTACTTTTACAGTGCTTGTTAAAATCAGAAAGAAAAAGTAGCTTAGATATGACAGTGATCAGGATTACACAAAAGTACAGGCAGACAAATCTGTCCCACGCAAGAGTTTACACTGAAAACTGAAATTGTATTTGGCTTCAGCAATTGGCAGTTCTTAGGCTGAGACTCTGAAGAGTAAGATTTTCACCCCTTGTGACTAAATATGTATAGCAATTTGAGAGGTGGACAAGATAAGCAAATCATAGAATCACAGAGTCATAGAATGGTTTGGGCTGGAAGCGATCTTAAAGATCATCGAGTTCCAACCCCCCTGCCATGGGCAGGGACACCTTACACTAGCCCAGGTTGCTCAAAGCCTCATCCAGCCTGGCCTTGAACACGTCCAGGGATGGGGCATCCATAACTTCTCTGGACAACCTGTTCCAGGGTCTCACCGCCCTCACAGTAAATAATTTATTCCTAATAACATATCCAAATCTACTCTCTCTCAGCTTAAATCCATTACCCCTTGTCCTATCACTAAACTCCTTGATGAAGAGTGCCTCCCCATCTCTCCTGTAGCCCCCTTTAAGTATTGGAAGGCTGCTATAAGGTCTCCCTGGAGCCTTCTTTTCTCTAGGCTGAACAACCCCAACTCTCTCTGTTCTTGTGTGGAAGATATTCCAGCCCTCTGACCATCTCCGTGGCCCTCCTCTGGACTCACTCCAACAGGTCCATGTCCTTCCTGTGCTGAGGAATACAGAGCTGGATGCAGCACTGCAGGTGGGGTCTCACAAGAGCAGAGTAGAGGGGGAGAATCACCTCCTTTGGCCTTCTGGTCATGCTTCTTTTGATGCAGCCCAGGACATGGTTGGCTTTCTGGGCTGCAAGCGCACATTGCTGGCTCGCATTGAGCATTTCATCAACCAACACCCCCAAGTCCTTCTCTTCAGGGTTGCTCTCTAGCCATTTTCTTCCCAGCCTCTATTTGTGCTTGGGATTGCCCTGACCCATGTGCAGGACCTTGCAATTGGCCTTGTTGAACTTCATGGTAACTGCTATTACAGCAGTTAATAGGGCAAAGAATTACAAGGGAGATTTGGCAGAACTTTAAAGGGCATTCGCTACAGGACTAAAGAGGTAAATGGAACCAAGGTGTTTTATAAAATGTAGATATAGTCTGATACAGATATACTGGCTAGGCTCTCCTCCTCCTAGTCCAGTACTTTGCTGTATATATACTGTGCTTTGACCACTCCGCAATAGTTCCAGGATCAGGAAATGATGCCAGATGTCTACACTTGCTGTTTGCCAGAACATATATTTAATGAGTAAATGTTTTATTACTTTTTATGATGAATATATTTTATGAGTAAAATAACTAGTTTTTCACCAGCTGCTGGGACAGTTGAGTTCATAGCTGCAATATATACCACAGTCATTCATTACATATTTTTGAAAGCAAAGCAGAATTCTGTTTAAATACATATACATTCTGAATGCATCCACCAGCAACAAGCACTCTCCAAATGACACTCTTAAAATCAGTGTTGATTCTGACCTTTTAATTTCCTATATGATTCTGACTGCAATTTATACATTTGAGCAGAAAATGTGTTTGTATTGTATGACATCCCTGCTACTCTCAAAAAGACATTTACAGAAAAGCAAGCAGTTGCAATGGCATTCTCTTTAAGAGCATCCTACAGCCATCTTATTAGGTTGCTATGCTAGAAAACATGATCTAGTAACATGTTAAGCAGACTTAAATTGGGACTTGAACTGTATATTTCAAATATGCATATTTCACTATATTTTTTCTAATATCAATGGCATGAAATAAACATGCTTATTTCAGCTAGATAGCTGAGTCATTTGTTGAATTCAGTCTTGCAAGACCCAAAAAGATTATGCAAGTTAAAACTCTAGGAATGCATTTACCTTGTCTTTGGAGCATAAATTTTCCAAAGTCTTTTCCATGTATATCACCTTGATAGGTAAAAATACCTCTTTCAAGCCCTGATGATACCTAGAGTATGTTGAAACAGAAAAAAAGATTCCTGAAACAAATAAGTAAGAATGTTCAGCAATTTGTTTTTCTGACTTAGAGTAGATATATGGAGCCCAGATTGTCACTTTTGTCCTTTAAAATATTAGTGAACTCTCTATGCTTATCCCATAATTACCATTTTAAGTTTGCAACAATAGTAAGCAAAGTTTAAAAATCACACCTGGAATGCCTTTAAAATGTCTGATGTATATTTCTGGGTTTTAAAATTCTTTAACTGACATACCCGTAATTGCATTAGTATACAGATATATAAGTCCACTGAACTTTCAGATTTTAAATTATTGTGCATAGAAAGCATCATGAGGCACAAAGGAGAACAGCAAAGAGTAAAATAACTCTTCTTCTTCAAGATTAAATGTAATTTTATTACAGTGAACTATTTACCAAACCAAAAAAGAACAATATTTCTAAAGTTAACATTCTTATTCTCATATAAGAAAACAATTCAAAAACATGTCAAAATATACTGATTCACTCCACCTTCCCCTTTACTAAACAAAAATTCTAATGGGAGTGTGCCAAACAGAAGTTTGTATACATATTGTTGAAAAGAAAAACAATGTGATCTCTAGACTGACATCTGGAGTGCTGTATTCCATATTTGTAATATAAAAGGTTGGATAGAGTTATATAGGGAATCAAATTCCTTCAAACTTTAAACTCAGTAAGCTTTACTCATAGCAGTCTGGTTACTTACATAACCATCTAGTGCCCAGTTGTCGTTTTCAAACTTGCTTACAAAAATGTCACTAGGTCCTTTAATCTGAAAAACTTTCAAAAGTAAATGCGCTTCTTCTTTCTTGTAAACACCTGTTAACATAAAGGAAGTTAACACACACCTTTTAAACAATTTTTCAAGCAGTTTGTTCAAATATCCTTTCAAAGATAAGTATATTGCTTTAGAACTAAAATATTTTGTAGAAAACATTGTGTAATAACAGAATTTTATAACCTGTAAAAAAACCAAGTTTTAACGTGCTGTAACAAAAGGATCTTATTTTACTGATCATTTGCCCACATTATATTTGACAACAGGATGCAAAGATGGTTTTGTACTGTTTAATTTTGTATGTAAATGGGCAAGAAAATTTGTCTTTTCATACAGCATTTCAATAATTTTGAATACAGATAGAATTCCTTGTCTGGAATTTCCTTGAACTGGAAAAACTGGATTTCACTCATATCACAACATTATACTGCTATAGTAAACATCAATAGTGCAGTGAAAGAAAATTTGCTACTTGGCAGCCAACTACTGAAATTCTCTCTGAACTCTTAATCTTAAAAGATAGTGATAGCTGATAATAGTTTTCAAATATAACTGTGATCAGAGGCTAAATCAGAACATCACAGTCAGATTTGCAGAAAGCAATGCACAATTGTGATTAAAAGGTATGCATCATTTACTAAGTTATTTAATTATCTGTGCCTATTTTATGTTATGCCATTATCAAGACCATATTGTTTTAAAGCAGATACTAATCACTATTGAATAATGGAGCTTTTAAATGGTGCAGTTCTTAAAATGCCTATGTACACTTCATCTGCCACTTCAATACTGTTCAACACATCAATACTACCCAACAGTGCAAGATGAAGAAACCCTACCTTGATATTTTTTTGAAATGTAAGGGGAAAAATAGTTGGTTGACTGCATATAAGTTGACTGAAATCTGTGCAGACCATTACATTAGGACCTATCATTTTGCAAAATAAGCAGAAAAATATTTTTCATGAAAACATAAAGCTTTTGTTTCATTTTGTGTTTGGCAGAAAATACAACAACATTGAACACATGTAAAAAAACTAAAAGAACAGCTTTTTCAGCACCAAATTCTGAACCTACCTGATAGTTTGAGCTGTATGTTGGATGCCTCAATGAATGTGGCATTCACTTTGCTGCTTGTAGTATTGTACCAATCAACAGTCAGAGTAGCAGGCTGTCTTTTTCCTAAATATTCATAAAACCCTTTCCACAGTGAATTTATAAAAAACACATCTGAGGGAACTAAGTAAAAGTGGGTAAAAAAACAAACAAACAAACAAACAAAGGAGTAAACTACAACAAAGCAGTAATGTTTTTAGCCATACTTATCTTCTTAATTTTTTTTCTGTTACAGCATCAATCCACTTTTCTAAGGAGGTACAATAGTAAGAAATTTACAACAGTAAAGACAATGTATCTAATGACCTTTCCACACAATTCCCTACAATACACTACACTTGCCCATTATAATATATGTTCTTAAATAACCTCTCACTTCATAGCTTATGTGCTATATACAATAGTACTGCATCTGTGAACAGTGAAGTTGCCAGAGTAGGGAACTTTTTTGCTTTTAAATAAAGGTCTATTTCATAGAAACTGCAGTTTGAATAATCTGAAGCAAAAAATCTGTAAAATGAAGCACGAACTATATGAAGAAGTATATGTATTTGGGTCATTTATTGGATGTTATTGTATTTTTCCTCTATACAGAAAAAAAATAAATTATCTACAGGTCATTAAATGTTGTCTTTTAAATACTTGGCTAAAGCAGCAACAGACTAGAAAAAGTGTCTCTTATTCAACAGTATCTGCAATATTAACATCAATTAAAAAGGAAACACAGAAGAAAAAAAAAAATTTAGATTTTATGTCAGGGTGTTACCTGTCTTGAACATTATTTCTCCCCTACACATTGCTATATTTCTCCCATATACTTTGCTGTTATAAAATCTGGGGAAGACTTATTTCAAACATGACAGTTAAGTTAAACAAACTGTTAAGCTGCCTGAAAGAGACCAAACCTCATACTGGCCAGACATGACTCAGTGTTTCCTGGCAGCTTCTGACAAGTGAAAATGGATATTTTTCCACTTAGTTCTAAGCTTTTTCTAGCATTACAATTTGAGAAGTAAAGTTTTAAGAACCAAAATAGAACTATAAAAATAATTGTTTAACTAAACACATGAAATCCTGACAAAAGGACAGCCCTAGGCAACTATTAAAATTGACCCTTATTATCCATGACCACTACAAACAATACTTGCTAAATAGGTAAAGACTGATATTAGAAGTGTTTCACACTCTTCTAACTAAACTCTTAAACTAAATTATTGGATTTTTCACATTTTATCAAACTCTGAGCACGTGTAGGAGCAGCTGTCTATACTGAAGGAAATTGATCAGTGTGGCTATCCTGTGTGTTCATTTTTGAATAAATTTTATGGATATTTCCTCCTCCATCTAATCATTATTTGCAAAAATGAATCAAAAGAAGCTCAGGCCAATAATACCATATATTTCTAACAAAATACTGACAGGCAGTACATCTGAAAATCTGATGACTGATGAGCTATTGACTGTCTCTTAACCATATTATTACACTTGCTAGTATGCATTTCATAAAGAGGAAGGATAGTAACTTCTTCAGTGCCTTTTGCCTTCAAATTGTGCAAAAGCCACAAGCAATGTTCAAGCTCAATGTGGCATGATTTGAAAACATCATCAGTGTGTTCTCTGTACCACCAACGGATTCCAAGTAAACGCTATATGGCTTTGAGTATGACAGCTTCCTTAAGTGTTCCCTTTCCAAAGCAAAACTGGGGCTTTACACAAGGTAACTTTGACTTAATACTAAAAATCTGAAGTATTAAATTTCAATTGATATCTTGCAGTCCTTAGAATTCATATATTTTCTGCAAATATACGAATTCTGTAAAGGGTCTTTCAGACTCCTTTTCCTATATATTTCTCATTGCCTTGCTACAATAGTGAAATACAGCAAGTTTGAAACCTGCATTTTAAAAATGTGTTAAAGTTATTTTTATTTTGTCTTTGCTTTTAGTTAAAATTGTGTGTCATGAAGGTGAACATCCGGTATTACTGGTATGAACCTGACAGGTACTATGTAAGACTTTTATAATGGAGCAGACATCATACTTTTGTCACGTTCAACATCTTCAGTATCTAGTTTGTCTAACCAGTCTACTTGTCAGTAACAGCTGTTAATCTTTGTGAAATAGTACCATTGACTACGTATTTACAGAATCTGCACTTACTGCAGATGGACAGAACCAGAAGGGGAAGAACATAGCAAAATATATTTCTGCTTCCTCAGTCATGTTTTTGTAAAAGGTTAATATGCAAGTGTTTCAGTTCCATGGATGCTGCTGAGGACTCAGAATGGACTTTCCAATGTCCCTTTTCCACTCACTGTGGGCAAACGCAGAATGAGAAAAATGAACTGGATATTACTATACTACAACTGCAGATTCTCCTCAGAACATAACAAATAGGGAAATCCATGGCTACTCAATAAACAGCTTCTGAACTGTTGCTGCAAAGACTGCAGAAAGCAGTGAGAACCATGGGAACTGAACAGAGCATTGTAGTTCTCAAACTTCACATGGGTATTGTGAGAATTCTTTAGTTGCAACTTATACTCAATTTCAATTTACAGTACTGTAAAAAAGATAGTTACTATTGCTTATGAAAACACTAACTCTGGCAATATAATAGCAATTCAATAAACAATAATAAACATAATTCGTATTCAGATATCCAAAGTTGGGAAATCAGAACATGAATCCATTCTGTTACAAAAACTCTGGTTTAGCAATATTAGCTTCATCCCATTTAAAATACAGATAGCAGCAAATGGAGTTCTACCCAAGGCCAAGAAAACAAGGCTAAGAAAATGCTCCAAAAATACATAGTGCATTACACTAAAGAGAATTCACAGTTTTAAAAGACATAATAATAGTGCAGACTTGTTATTTAAAAACAGCTTAAAAATGTATTTGTTAATTACTGTCATTTGTTATAGTTTCCTTCTCTGCTTACCATTATTGGTATTTGCTATACTAACACTTCATTTTTTAAAAAAATGCCTTTCAGATGATATTTACTTATCAAAACTAGTTATAATTGGCATGATATGGTTTTATGCATAGTGAATATATTTGGAGACTTGGTCTGTATTTTAATTTGGCATTTAAACATCAAAACCTATATAGAAGCAGATTAATGTATACTTTAGGTGTTCTGTGAGGTGAATCCTCCAATAAATTAAGACTATATTAATTATAATGAATGCACATTATATCCTGCTTTATTGTGAGTCTGTAGAGGTAATGCATTTGAGAATTCATTTATGGTTTTACCTGACACTATCACGAATAAACTCAACAGGAAGGTTAATTATTAGCAGAAAGACCTTTTTATCCCATCTACTCTACAGAGTCCTTCTGTGAACCACCGTGAGTGTGAATCATTAATCTTATTTTCCCTGCAGCTTGCTACAATTCAGAATATAGAGTTGCAAGCTCATTTATTTGGTGAAAACTCTGCTCATTGTTAAATAACTCCATAAAAAAAAAATAGCCCTTTCATTTTCTGAAAGTGATTGAACCTTAAAAGATCTACATTAAGTATTTCTCAGATTTATTTGTCCATTTTGTCACTGGCAGGAGGAAAAGGTTAACTGCACGCATATTCATGAGGAGGCACAAAAAAAGCAGCAGTATGTTTGCCCACTGCTGGTGATCCACAGTCTGGGAAACCCTTCCTCAGAGTACCTTGCGAGTTTCCATGAAATGAAAGCCATCAAAACTGGTTTTGGTTTTTTGTGTGTGTGTGGTTTCCTACAACACTTGCAACACTTGCAAAGGGCAGAACTTCAACTGAACCCAGTCCTTGCAATTATGATCTACACTCATTATAAGGCTCTCCATTATAGCAATCTCTCTGATATAAAACTACTTCAAATCTGGGGTTTTTGTATATATGTGCTTTATCTTTTTGGCTTGGCAGGGTCTTTCGTGCAATTCACAAAATTGATACTGTAGAAATTTAAAAAATGATGTTTGGGAAATAATTTCATAGAACAGGTTTTAAATGGCTTCTGTTATTATGAAAAACCTCAACATTTATATTCCTTTGAAATGAGTGATAAATACTTAAGTTAAAATTGGTAATAGTTTTATTATCCATAACAATCTAGGGTGTAAATCAATTTAACTTATTTAGATCTAAAACCCTTCTTGTATACAAACCTGGAGTTTTAGTTATTGTTTCATTAACTTCTCTCACTCCTTTACCTACAAGTAAAAAGACAAATTATCATTTTCATGAACATATTTGGTTTTTTTTAAAATAGAATGTTAAAACAATGTCTGATGGATGCAATCATCTGTTATCCAATAGAGCCATATTTAAAACAGAAATAGGTGGTCTTGAATACTTCACATGTTCATATCTACACACTTACACAAAACTATCAGAAAATAATTTAGGTAAACAACATTTTTACTGTGGAAGGTTATCTGATTAGCCAAGTATTTCATACATTTAGTCCTAGATTTTTATATCAGTCCCAGTGCTATAAAAGAGAGCCTTATAGAGGGGAAAAATACGTAACATATGTAATTATGAATAATGGTATATTAAATATAGTAAAAAATGTCTTAATGAAGATTGATACATTTATGACACAAGTCAGCAAAAGCCAGATAGCTGGATTAAGATGACAGGATCAGATATCATGGGAAAGGACCACAACTGGTTTAATTTGCTGTATTTCTGTTACACTCAGCAGAGTTATGTCCATTGACCTGAGATCAAGTTCTGGCCTCATATCATTAGCCCCTTTAAAAAGGCTAATGTCCCATAGGAAGATTTGGTCTTGCATGTTTTTTCTTTAGGAGCAGAAATTCACTGATAAGACAGATCAAGTGCTAGAAAAGCATAAAAAGTGTGAGGCGCTCAAGGAGAATTATACCTAAAGACTGTAAACCAATTAAAGAAATAATTATTGTTTATAGATACCTTTTCTGTACTTTAATTTAAAAGAAAAAAGGAAAATTAACAAAAAAAAAAAGATCATTTATCTTAGAATTAAAAAGCATGTTGCAAATATCTTTCCCGTGGCATCTGATTATTTTTCCTTTATTCATATTCTAAATATAATTTTGTTTTATTTTTCTGAATTGGGAACTTATAGCCATGTTTATTTGCATGTGAAGAGCAAATTTAGCCCCCATAACTAGATACTTAGAGCTACTCTAGCATAACTAAACGAAATTTATATGGATACAAATAAAAGTGGAATTTGGTGCAAAGATATATTTATTTTTTATTTTATTGTTCTTTTTTATCTTAGGAGATTTTCTTAGACAAAAAACATACATGAATGAATCTAAAAGCCAAGCTATTAAATAACTTTTTTTTTGTTCCTAATAAAAAATCATGCAGTAAACACTGAATACATTGAAATACTCTTTAAAACTGCGACACAAAGAGAAATACAGTTAAAGGTAATACTTTATATTGTTGTTGTGCTGTTGTTAGGGGTAGACATATATGTGTGCCTGTGTATTTACACACACATATCCCCACATTTTCCTCCACAAGTTCTAGATGCTGTGCTCACTTTGGGTTTTTTCCTGTTTCTTTCATAATGCAAAAGCTGTTGTGTCTCATGTGTTTTTAAATAGTAAGTGGAAAAAGTTAATCCTACTATATAAAATAAAAATGCCAGGGTAAATGAAATCCAATCAAGTAGGGCTCAACATATCACTTGAGTAATGACTTACTTTTACAAATCGGTGATTTTCCTGTCCATTTCATATCTGGTTTACATGTCCGATGCTCTGATCCACCAGCAAGAAAAAATCCTGGCTGACAGGTATACACCAAAGTATACCCTAAAGTAGGAAGATCTATTGCTTTCACATCTACATGTGCCGGTGTCTCTGGCTGCCTGCAAGCATGAGCTGCAAAGGGGTTTTTTAGAGTTAGAAAAAGTGGTGGTAAACAGTTTCCACAGGATTAGAGTACATAATTTGAAATAAACACACGCCAACTTACTCCTTGTCATTATGCAAAATTTGTACACCTTTTAGAAATGTCAAGTAGCTATTACTTGTAAAAGTAACTCTCTGCGTGTATAGCTATATTATTGTGGGAAGATAGAAATTATAGTATCACATATTTTTAAACAATAAAACAAAATTAAATCATGGTAGCAAACAGAAAAGAGTTAAAATGAAGGGAAGCACATGCCATTGCACATGGTGCAATGATTGGTCCTGTGAATTATTGCACTGTCACAGCTTCAAGCCTCACTTCCCCTAAGTGTTTTAAAGACCCTTGAAAATTACAGAATGGTTATTGTGCTAAATAAATTCATTATAAATTTCAATTGAAATAAAGGTTCCATGGGAAGGATTTGTCATAGTACATTGATTATAACAGATATGGATTTCTCTGTGCTCCATGGTATTATTTATAACAACCCAAAGATAATTTGAAATAGAATAAGAATCTAAGGTCATTCTAATGAACTACTTTTAACTTAGATCAGTGTATTTTAATACAATAGTTATTCAATATCCTCCAACACATACAGAGTTATAGATACACTAATCATTTGCATACCCATGCATAGCCCAGAAAAGATGAACTTTGCTGAGTTCTACTTTATGATTCACAAAATACTAGCCAACAAAATAGCCCCATGCATACTTCAGGCCACTTTCTGTTCTATATTAATAAAACACACAAAAATCCCCTAAATTAATTTAAGACAGCTGTTAACAGTGAGTTAAAGAGGACATACATTTTATCAGTACAACTGAAAGAATTGTGAACTTTACAAAAAAAAAGTCTGAAAAATCTTATTTCAAATGAATATCCCAAATAGCTTTGGTCCTAGAATAGGAAACAAAAAACTTTTAAAAATACTGTATTTAAATAAATTTTACTTTTTTGTAGTGTGTAATTTACTACGAATTTCTGCATGCATCATTTTGTAACTCTTTTAAAATTGCACAGTATTCCAAACCATTAGTTAAGAAACCAGACTTACGAATGCATTCAGACTGTATGCCACTCCAAGTTAAGTTAGCAAGACAAGAACGGGTGGTAGATCCCTGAATATGGTAACCTTTTCTGCATCTGAAAAAGACTGTGCTCCCAACCTAAAGATCAAAACAGAACATTTGCTAAAAGAGGCATCCATCATGTGAAGTCAGATATCAACACAGTAATAACCTACCAGACAGATTTTCAAAAATAAAAATGACCTCTTTTTACAGTTTCTGCAGTTAAACTATTTTTAAATGAGATTAAAACTTTGAGCAATTGATCTTTTGTAACCATATTTGAAAGTAAAAGTGGAAAAATATTGACAAGGCTCTTCACATGGAAAAGACTGACACATACATTTCAGTTTATTAGTTTGTCAGTGTGACAGAAGCAAACTGAATCTCTGAGATGTCTCTCTTTCCTGTAGAGAGTGTATATTTCAATAGAACACGACCATAAAGTCTGTTGCAAAGGTTTCGCACTGTGTGACTTGACTAAAAACATTTTTTAAGAGGAAAAAGAAAAAAACTATGAAGAACTGTTCCATCTACAAGTAAATTCACTAGAGGAAACTCCAGGCCACAATCCTTACACTGCATTTGTTACTATAAACTACCTAAGTTTTACTTAGGTTCAGCTAGCAGAGTGATTTTATGGAAAGCCTTCCTATGGTCGACTGTGATATGACCTTTCTCAGAAGAAAAGGTAAAGTAACTGAGAAAACTGTCTTTAGACTTCCGCTGAGAATAGAAATGCATGAAAACTGGATCCAAAATTGCAAGTGACGAAGAATTTTCATAACATAGGGGAGAGAGAGATTGTGTGGAATGTTCTAGTAAAATGGACTTAGTGACAGTATTGGCCAAAGTAACCAGAATACAACTCCAGGCCAAGACATTTAAGGATGTGGGGCCAACCAGTAAAGCATTGCATTCTGTTTGGATAGAACATCTTGGCAAAAAATAAGATCAGATGAAATGAAAAAAAAAAAAAAACACCACAAAAAAGAAAATTAATTTAAATTATATGACTTATTAATAAGGTAAGATATCACATGGACAAATACAAGTACGTGGCAAATGAGTAGTGGTCAATACAGATTAATAAAATAGCTTGCACGTATATAAATGCAGATAGCTCTACACTGCAAATTTCATAGGACTTCAATGGACATGAAAAATGGGGAGTTATCTTCAAACATGACTACCTGTTAACTATATACTTGGTCATACAAAAACAGATTATCATGACAGATGTTCAGCAAATGCAACACCAGTTCTTCCTGAAGTGGCTTGGGAAATTCACTGGTAATTTTAACAGTCAAATTACTGGTATGGCTTTGCAGACTTATTTATTTATAACTATTTTTAAACATATTCATCTCTCTGACTTGCCAAGGACACACAGCATATCTGTAGCAGTGACCAGAACAGAGTGCAACTGGTCTTGACTTTAAGTCATCTTGCTTCTTGTGAAATTGCCAATTCTAGTATCAATAAGAAATGATGAGCTGCAAGTATTTCCTCACTGATCCAAAAGATCAAGCAAAAACGTTCAAGGTAGTTACAGTTACATTTCTTTCTCATTTTACAGGTAAAAGTAAAAATAAAAGCAGTTCACTCTTTGTATAATACTTGGAAGAAGTATTGGAAAACATTGGAAGCATTTGTAAAAGTCACAGTGCAGTGAAGCACAAAATGCACAAAATGAATGAGGCAAGACAGGATGCTGGTAGATAGAGGAAAACCCTTCAAAAGTCCATTGCTTGTCTTCATCACCCCTTTCTGTAATGAAGAAAGACTGTTAAAATCTGGTTTATAGAAGCGTGGCTAAGTCATATGAACAGGAAGCACTACTAATCACATATGGCAATAAAAATCTACTTCACTAATAATAGGAGAAAAGTCTACACCTTGTTGTACCAGATAGTGATCTGAGAGTGAAAGCACATTGTATCGGGTTTTCATGGCAAGGTTTTGGTAGATGGGGGGCTACAGGGGAGGCTTCTGTGAGAAACTGCTAAAAGCTTCCTTTATGTCTGATAGAGCCAGTGCCAGCTGGCTCCAAGACAGACTCACCACTGGCCAAGGCTGAGCCCATCGGTGATGGTGGTAGTGCCTCTGGGATAACATATTTAAGAAGGGTGAAAAAAACCCTGTGCAACAGCAGCCAGAGAGAGTAAGAATATGTGAGAGAAACAACTCTGCAGACACCAAGGTCAGTGAAGAAGGAGGGGAAGGAGGTATTCCAGGTGCCAGAGAATAGGTTCCCCTGCAGCCCCATGGTGAGGCAGGTTGTCCCCTTGCAGCCATGGAGGCTAACAGTGGAGCAGATATCCACTTGCAGCCCATGGAGTTCCCCACGTTGAAGCAGGTGGATGCCCAAAGAAGGATGTGAGCCCATGGGGAGCCCGCACTGGAGCTGGCTCCTGACAGGACCTGTGAATCCGTGGACAGAGGAGTCCACATTGGAGTAGGTTTGCTGGCAGGACTTGTGACCCCATGGGGGACCCACACTGGAGCAGTTCCTGAAAAACTGCAGCCCATGGGAAGGACTCACGTTGGAGAAGTTCATGGAGGACCGTCTCCTGTGGGCCTCACACTGCAGCAGGGGAAGACTGTGAGGAGTCCTCCCCCTGAGGAGGAAGGAGCAGCAGACACAACATGTGAAGAACTGACTGCAACCACCATTCCCCATCCCCCTGTGCTGCTGGCGGGGAGGAGTTAATCCTGGGAAGAAGGGAAGGGTGGAGGGAAGGTGTTTTAAGGTTTAGTTTTTATTTTCTTATTATCCTACTCTGATTTGATTCTTAATAAATTAATTTTCCCCAAATCAGATAAAAGGGAGAGAGAAAAAAACCTAACCCCCTGATCAAAGTAGGTGCAAAGATTAGAGTTGGATTTGAAGTGATGATGGGGACAGGTAGCGGGTTAAGATGAGACAACGGACAGAATGGCAATTGCACCTCTTACTAGAAAAGAACCACCTTAGGGAGGAGGCCACAAGATGTGGCTAGGGGAGAAGTGCGTTGGCATCTGTGAGTCAGGCAGGTGCAGAAGGTGAAGAACAGCACTGACAGCCACAGCAACGACAGACTGCACAATTGAAGGCGAGGGAAGGTACCAATAAAAGGGGGAACTTACAGAAAGGATGTTTTAAAAAAACAGTTCTACTAACTGCATTGTAATGCCATGTGGCACACTGGTATTCCATGAACTATTCCATGGTCCAGGAATAAGCAGGAAACCCAAACAGAACATATTTTAGATTCCAGTCACAAATATTTATACCTGAAGAATCTATCCCCATGAGGATAATCATTCTATATAATGATTGTGGATTGGTCATTGTTTCATCACTTTTTCTGTCACTTGACAAACTAATAACCTGTGAGGAATTTGGAAATTATAGAAAGGACATTTATCACGGAGAACCTGGATCCAACACATAGAATAATTTTATCTTCTCTGTCTGAATAAAATGTAACATTAATTGTTCATTTAGTAAAGCCAATTGCTGACTTTTTTGTCAAGGACTACGTGGCCTTTGGATCAGACAGGTCTTTGGTTGTTAGGTATTTACTGACTATTCATCAATGTATGAAAGAATTATGATCATAAAGCAAAGTAATTATATCATGTCATATCATATTAGGTAACCAATTTATAAATAGTCCTCACTATTGAAGTCTCCTAAAGGACTGAACACATGATATATTGTAAGGTTAGAAATTCTTCCTTTAAGCTGTATGTGAAAAAAAAAAAAAAAAAAAAAAAAAAAAAGCTTGGGTTGAAGCATGAGTTTTTATTAAAAATGAGTGGAACTTTTCCTAAGATTCACATCAGACTTTTATGTCTACAGATAATTTAACGTATTTGCACTAATTAAATGCATCTTCATTTTAGAAAGCTAATAAATAAAAGAAAGAATTACCTCATAACCTCTGGAACTGTTTTGTATTCCAAAATGTGGAGTACCGGGGTCTGTACATGTATTGTGAGCTGGATCTAATGTAAAATGTGAAACATGACAGATATTATTGTGGTACGGAAAGAATACTCCCAAACTGTTTGCAAGGTTAAGTCATTTCATCAATATCTAATGATGGCAAGAACTGATTTTTCAGTGGAATGTGTGTTTTCGTATAGATTACATTTGTATTTCCAATTAAATTTCCAAGATAGATCACAGTGCTTTGTTTCAGTACTTCGACAGTATTTTTTGCAGAGATCTTAGGAAGTGTAGTCTTTAGAGTTAGGATTGAATAAATTTTTGCTAAGCTTTTCCTTTTAAACCTTTTTGAATACATAGTATATCCCACTATTCACAATGCAGATAAAACATATAGGGAAATCTTTTTCTGCTCTTCTTTCACAAAGAAAAGCTTAATGGTTAAGTTATCTTTCTAAAAAAAAAACCCAAATCCAAAAAACCCCAAACACAAAGCCAACCTCCTTTCTTATAGCAAGCAAAATACTTAGATTTTTGACATAAGTTTTATATGTCACTAAGAAAACAAAAAGTTTCAGATGGACTGCATTCCCTCCACAAAAAAATGGTATGACAACAGGGTATAACTAATATACGATGATCAGTTTCATGAGTGTAATTTAAAGCAACATGAAACTATTTTTGATTCAGCAATGTCCACTTCACATTCTGACGGTATATTTGCTTTTGGGTTGCCCATCATATCTACCAGGTACACAACACAGGGCTTGATCCAATGGATCTTTCTGTACTATGTGATTCCCTCATGGCAACTGTCTGCTTTTGTGCTGACACTGCGTTACAAAAATGCAACTTGGGACTATATTTCATGTGTTACCAAGGTTTCTGTACAGGGAAAATTGAACTTGTCATGTATAATGATGTGATATGTCATTTCACTCTCAGTTAACTTCCATTTTCAATGTTGACCATCAGTAGAGCATAACAATTCAACTGGACCGATATTTACCAAAGGCTTCAAAAGTTAGATGAATGTTGACCTAACGTGAGAGAATAAAAACCAAATGCAATCCTGACCTTGAGCTGCTTGAACAGCTCAAGAACTTGTTATAAATTATCATCAGCTGGAATGCTATTGCTAATAATAGACACATGAAGCTGAATTGACTTTTTAAGATATGTCTCATCTGAAGAAACAGCTTGGCAAAAAAAGAAGACTCCTCAAAGTATTTTAAGGAAATTATCAAATTCAGAAATAGAACAGCTTGCAATCATTTGCCATCGTATGGTACTTCTAGGCATAGCTCTAGGTATTATTCACTGATCTGAATTTTCAAATTGTTTAACAATGATATCTGTAAACATTTCAGATAGTCTAATATTTCCTTTTATGATAACATAAAAACTATGATGCCAAGGAAAAGCTTATGTCTTCGACGCAGTATTTTCCATGTACTTCCATACTATGCTATATAGAATGCAAATAGAAACGTAACTACGAATTTTTAAATTTGATTCTTCACAACAGACCAGTGATTTAGCTTCTTGCATCTGTTACAAAACATAGGTGTAAGATGGATTGCCCAGTTCATAAAAAGTATGGACAGAAGGAGTTTTGAATTAATATGAAAAAATTCTATTGAGTGTTGATGTCTTAATTTACAAATACAGGCTGCTTTCAATAATCATGCTTGCCACCGTTTCCCAGAGTGCTCACCCCAGCTCTTCCATGTAGCCAATATCTCAGCCACAGCAAAATATATAAATGGGCTACAGTCTATATCTGAATGTGGTTTTTTTAGAAATATCAAACGGGATTTTTTTTATTACAATACCAAAATCACTTCTCTAGCAAGTCACCCGAAATTGGATCAAATGCTGATGTCAGGGGGAGTTACAGGTGTCCAGCATTTCTCTCAGTTTGTCTGATTATGTAACATGCTAAAAGTCTACCAGTTGCACATTGGTCAATGAGAAACTGATAATACTTGGCAGTTTATCAGAATTTCAAAAGATCAGACCCAGCATGCTTCATCTTTTCGAGCAGTACAAGCCACTTGCACAAAGTCCAGAAAGTCTTTCGATTTAGGACTGATTATGACAAATGCCTTTGACTTTCCAGTGATAGAATCTGGTCTTTAATCTGTCTTTAATCTGTCAAAAGTAGTCTGTGTATCTAAAAGATTCTAAAAATAGTTGAAACAAATTTATGTGCTTGCAATTATTGACATTCTGCATTTCCACCAGACAAGCAATCATGTAAATTTACAAATTACTTCATATGTGATCGTGTTTATCCTGAAATTTTTATACCTTTATACCTTTTATATAACCTTATTTATCCAGTTCTTTTTATATTACACAGACATTTTCTATATTTGGAAAGCTAATTGCTAGATTTATGATACTGTAATAGTTTATCAAGAATATTCTCTGTAGAAACAGTGTAGGTAGTGGCAGTTATTACCAATGCATGTTGGCTGAATTCCACTCCAAGTACCATCTGCTTGACAGAATCTTCTTGAAGAGCCTATCAGAATAAAAGGGAGCCTGCACTGAAAGCTAACTTCAGACCTGTAGGTGAAACTTTTTCCACTGAGGCGTCCTTCTGCTGGAGTACCAGGATCACCACAAAAAACAGCTAGTACATAAAAAAGGAAAGAAAAAAACAGTTATTAAAAAGCTCATGTTTCAACTGAAGTATTCTACCTGGTTTTAAGTGCAAGTCAGGCATACTGAATATGAGTGCAAATGTTATGTTCATTTATCTGTGTAGGATTGTAGCTCAGATAAATTCTTGACAGCATTTTAAAATTCATTGTCACTGTTATAGTTATTATAAGCATACAACTTAACTTGGAAAAATAGACCTTTTAATTGAGGCACTTAAATGTTGATTAGATTTGGATGACAAAGTAATCTCAAAGTAGACTATGCTATATTGTAATGCTTCAAAATTTATCCAGTTTTCACATCAGTCACACTCAGATGAGTAGGCTGGAAATTTTTGCCCTAATTTAGTAAAAGGAAAAATGTTTTTCAGAGTCCTGACAAGATTTCAAGCACTGAAAGAGATGAATTGACAGATTTAGAAGCTGAAAAACAAATACGAATAAGATATGAGGGTATCTACCAGACTTCATCAAAGAAAAAATAATTTAGAAAGGAGATCAAGGCTATGAGCTTAAGGGTCCTTGTTTTCACCTGTTAATGGAAATGAGAAGAAAAAAAGGAAAAGTATAAGGGAAAATTTTAATGATGCTCACTACAAGTCAAATTCAGAACATTCAAAAATATTCTCAGTAAGGCAAATGGGCCCAATTAGATAATAAGATATGGAGGTGACTTTTGGGGAAAGGAATGAAACCATGGCTTTAAACGGGTACAACCACTCAATTTTATAACAAGGTATGCTTTCTGGAAGAAGGAGGGAGAATTCTGCAGTAGTCCATGTATTACCCTATCTAGCTGAGTCCTTTTTAAACTGTGAGAAACTGACTGTAGCCCGAGTCAACTGATTGTAGCCTTGGTGAAGCCCGACACAATTGTACCCTGAAAACTTACGCAAACATTGTGGGATGTCTCCTCGCCAAACTCCTCGACCCTCACAGGAGAGAATAGCTGTTTTAGATAGTTGATAGCCTTCTGAACAGCTGTAACTCACACTGGCACCCCAGCGATAATCAGATCCTTCCACTTTCCCGTAGAGTACTGGTGGAGGGGGGCCACAGGTAATAGCTGTGTCACAAAAAGAAAAGTTATAATTTCAAGAATTTATAGAGTTTAGGAGAATGCAACATAACATCTACTCATACTTTTGAAACAAACAAAAAATATCTCATGCTGTTCAGCTCCAACAAAGCATTCCTGTGTTGACAAAGCAGCGTGTAATAGACAGAAAACCAATTTAAATACAAAAATACCACCTCTAGGTTTAGGAAGCCCCTGAGAACTGGGTTGCTGGAAGCGAGAAGAGTATATAGCTTACCTAGCTTTTCAAATTCATTACTGATCATCTCTGGCAACAGGATACTGAGATACATAAAAGTTTTCAATAAATATGATTGTTTTCAATAAATACGTTTCTATGACTCTAAGATTCTTATTATTTGCATTTTATTTTAAACTATTTTTGCAGCACTATTTAAAGCCCAGAATACGACTTTGTTCATTCACCTGTTCATTTTCTAAGGCTTTCAGCACACAACACTGACTTTGTTGGCGATTAGTGGCTAAGAATCTTTATAATTATTCAGACGTTTTACAGCTTCTGAAAGAGTGCCAAAAATGATGAAATCAGGAATGACCAAGTTTACATTTACATATCAGTTCTTTCAACAAAGAGCACAACCGTAAAATCACTTAGTGATTTTTTACAACAGAAAATGCGGTCAGCTGAACACACATGCCAAAATTTAATTAGTAGGCTAGACTTGGACATCACTTTAAAGCAGTGCTAGATGAGCTGGCAGTCTAGGCCTTTTAGAAGATGCCCCAGGCTGTTAAATTTATTCCCTGAGCTGCTGTAGTAATGCTAACAATTTTTACCAGGTTACTTTATTTGCCTTTCAGCCTCATCCTCACTATGACCTTTGTGTTAGCACTTGTAATTAGCTACTTGTGAAGCATCTGTTTGGCTATTTATGGTGGCTACACTACTGCAACAAGGGAATCTTTTATATAAAGTTTTCTTTACAGGATCCCTTTACAGAATTTTGGTCATCTAATCCAAGATAAAAGGGCCAAAAAAGAAAAGTAGGTACTTCATTCCTAGCTTTTAAACTGAGCACTCTGATAATCTTCATTGCAGAGTGATTTAGTTCTACTCTAGTCATTAATGCTGCTATTCTGACTGATATTATACCACAGCATATGTGCAAAACAAATACAAGTTTTACACAAATACTTATCTAAATCTTGTAATTACATTTGCATGTTAATTGTCCCGGAGAACATTTGGACAATTTTTTACATATAAAGACACTGATTAGTGAATTTCACATATGGTATCAAAACAGTATTTGTAAATTATTTAAGTTCAAAAGCACACCTTTGCAAATTGGTTTACTCTGGTTCCAAGTGCTGTCTTTTATACATTGCATGGTAGATGAACTGGCAGGCTCCATCAAGTATCCTGGATTGCATTGGTAGCTGACTGTCTTATTAAAGGTAAAATCATTTCCAAACTGAATGCCATTTGCTAATGCACCTGGATCTCCACAGCTGATCACTAGTGAGGAAAAGAAAAAAAGGGATTTTTTTTTTCAATAAATGTGTAATGAAACATTAAACTATGTATAGCAAACGTCCTCTTTTTTTAGTATACAAAATAAGAAAAATTTTAATCAGTATATTTCACACAAAATCAATTAATATTCAATTTCTAGATAAAAAGTCATATTTTCAAAGCATTGCAATAGCATGGGCCAAATATTATATTCCTTAAATACACTAGTTTAAAGTGGTATGCTCTACTGTTACTGCAGACCTTTATGTTCGTGGTTTTGATGGGACTTTTCCTTCCTTCATACTAGGATCTTTGTCACATTATGCCTAATGTTGACGGTGCAATGCAATTCCAGCAGAGTTATGAAATTCCTAAATTCCTTTTTTTTTTTTTTTTGTATCACCGTTCTGATGTATTGTGGGTTTGACCTTGTCAGTGAGGCCACTGGCCCTGCTGGCCTTGCAGCACCTCTCTGGTTCCGGCTCACTTTCCCTGATGAAGTAACCCAGTTTCGCTGCTCACTGACTCCTGGTCCTTAGCAGAATGGTTATCGTTCAGATCTGACTTGTTCAGATCCCATTAAAAATTGGCACAATAATGTACCCAATTAGGTAAAATCTGATTTAGAACTACCAGAACTACATCCTCTGTACATAAGCCACCAAAACAAACAAACAAACAAACAAAAAATACAAAAAAACCCAAAACCAAACAAACATAAAAAAGAAAATCTAGAGGAGCACCTATTTTTAGGAATAATGTTATATTTTCAATATTGATATTCATGAGGTAAACAAATACAGAAAAGTTACCTGTGTATCCATCTTAAAAAGATAGCTCTGGAAACATCTAGCATGTACTAAAATGGCATGTTTCTTTACATACATAAAATATTCATGCATGACAAAACAGATGAATGGGGAAAAATGTGTTCTTTTATCTAACAAAATAATAATTTTCAGTAGGAAGGCTGTATGAATTAGTGCTTTAAAGCTTTAGAGGAAGAAAGTTTATTTCTGACCTGTGCAGTCTGGAGCAGTGCCAGTCCATGTCCCATTAGCAGTACAATGTCTAGTAGTTAGCCCTGAAGTTTTGTAACCTTCCCAGCAGGCATAAATGACTGAGCTGGAGAACAATATTCCATCAGTGTATATTATCATACCATTGGCTGGAGTGCCAGGGTTCCCACAAGATACAGCTGCGAAGAAAAGGTTTAAAAAAAAAAAAAAAAATCAATATTTTCACGATGGGGGACTAATAAAAAAAAAAAAAAGTGACTAATAAAAAAAAAAAAAAAGTAGATCAGTAGCCGATCTTTTAAAAAAAGATAAAGCAAGTTTTACTAAGAAAATGCTACTAAGAAAACAGGTATATTCTTGAGTCAATATCTTATTTATCTTTGCTAATGTGATCACTTTACTTGCATTCAGTTTGTATCATTTTTTCAACAACTGATTCAGATAGTTTGCACTGCTTGCAAATGTTCCACTCCACCCAGTACAGTCACTGAAGAGAAGAAAGTTAATTCAGGACTTTCTGACAGACTTGTGCCTCTATTTTGCCTTTGGGCACATTTTTCTATTCTCTTCCTCTCTTCTGAAATCCTGTTTTTAAATTGTAAAAATGCATTAATAGTAAATTATTATCTCCCTGTCCATTTCTTTTTTGAATCAAGAAAAGAACATACATTCTTTATTTGCCTCTGTATCTTTTTGTCATCTGTAGCTATACGTTAAGGCAATTATCACGTTTCAGCTTCATACATCTGAGATTCAATAGTGGTTTACTTTGATTACATGTTGTTTTTTTGGGCGGGTTCAGTGGTTTGTTTTTTGGGGGTTTTTGCTTGTTTGTTTTTTTACAATGGACCAGCCAATCATGAGAAGGCTTTGATTGTTTTGAATTTTTCTGAGAACTTTCCTCTAAAGCATCTTTATTTGACCATCCCGTCGACAGGGCACTGGCAAAAGTACAATAAAATTCCACTGTTGGACAGAGATTACTCCTTTTCATAGGAATAAAATTAAACTATCATGAGGTTAGGAGATAAAAGGGTTAATTAAGAGTTAGGAAGAAATGTGCATCTACATCAAACTCTTTCACTCAGTCTTCCATGGAGCATGAAGTCATCTGTAAGACTGGGAGGACATATTTCAACTGTCTCTTCCAGAGCTTTCAATATCTGGCAACTCATTCTACTCTTCCTAAAGCACAAACAAGCTTGGGCTCTTGAGGTTAAACGATATAGACTAATACAATGATATGATCAAGTAAAAGTATGATAAAACTCAATGGCTTGCAATATTGTGCTGGATTAGCCTTGGCTAACAGCCAAATGCCCACCCAGCAGCTCAATCACTGCCCCTCCTCAGCAAAAAAATCATGGCTCAAGATAAAGACAGGGGAATTGCTTACCAGTTACCACTGTGGGCAAAACAGACTCAACGAGGGGATAATTCCTTTAATTAATTGCCAGTTAAAATAGATTTGGACAGGGACAAAAAGGCAAACACTAAAACAACACCTTTACTCCCCTCTTTCCCAGGGTTAACTTCATTCCTCCACTTCAGGCTCCTCTATCTGCACCATGAGTGGTGCAGAGGGGACAGAGTATGGGGAGTTATAGTCACTACACAGCAGTTTGTTTCTGCCTCTCCTTCCTCCTTAGAGAACTGTAGGAATTCCAACCATAATCATAAAAAGAAGCATGGTCAGCAGGTCGAGGGAGGTGATCCTCTCCCTCTTCTCCTCTCTCTTGAGACCCTGTTTGGAGTACTGCATCTAGCTTTGGGACCCCCCCAGCACAAGAAAGGCATTGACCTGTTAGAGTGGAGAAGGTCCATGAAAATTATTAGAGGGCTGGAACACCTCTCCTTTGAAGAAAGGCTGAAAGAGTCGGGGTTGCTCAGCCTGGAGAAGAGAAGGCTTCAGGGAGACCTTATTGTGGCCTTTTGACACTTAAAGGGGGCTATAAGAAAGACTGAAAGAGACTGTTTTACCAAAGCCTGTAGTGACAGAAAAAGGTGTAATGGTTTTAAACTGAAAGAGGGTTGATTTAGTTTGGACATAAGGAAGAAATTTTTTACCATGTAAGTGTTGAGACACTGGAACAGGTTGCCTAGTGAGGCTGTAGACGCCTCATCCCTGGAAGTGTTCAAGATCAGGCTGGGTGAGGTTTTGAGCAACCTAATCTACTGGAATATGTCCCTGCCCATGACAGGGAGGTCGGATTAGATTATCTTTAAAGACCTCTTCCAACCCAAACCACTCTATGATGCTATGATAATACTAATAAAACACATTAAAGATGATGCACAGATACTGGTCTGTCCTGGGTTCAGCTGAGACAGAGTTCACTTTCTTCATAATAGCTAGTAAGAGGCTGTGTTTTGGATTTGTGCTAAGAAGAAAACTGATAACAGTGAAGTTTGTAGTTGTTGCCATGACAGTCCAAAGTCTTTTCAGCTTCTCTGCTGTTTGCAGGTACAGGAGAAGCTGGGAAGGAGCACAGCCCCAGTTAGTAGCCTATGATTTGATTTTACGTTTGGTATTGAGACCCAAAGTGGCCAGTAGTCTATTCCATATCATGCCATGCCCACTATATAGGTAAGGGCTCTCTGGAAGCCCTCCCCTTCTTGCTCTGGGTCAGGTCTCTTTCCAGGTCGGTTCTCTTGGGGTGGTCCCTCTTGCCAGATAGTCTCCCTCCCTTGGTCAGCTCTTGGTCTGGGATGCTTGGGCTCTTATCTGCATTCTGGGAGTATGTTTTCAGGACTCTCCATGTTCCAGGATTGTCAGTCAGGAGTGAGCTCAGCTGTAGTCATCAGGTGGTAAGCAGTATCACTGTTTGTCACTCATTTGTATATTTGTATATATTATTATTTTTCAATGTTATTGTAGTTTTGTTATTAAATTGTTCTTATCAGAACCCATGGGTCTTTTTTTTCTTTTTACTCCTTTAATTCTCTCCCTCATCCCTGGGATGGGGGGACTGAGTGAGCGGCTGTGTGGAGTTGGCTCCCAGACAAGGGAACAAAAGAACAATTGTTAGATGAGGATTCTGTGATAAAATCCCAAAGTAAAAAAAATATAACAAATTTGTTAAAAATATTTTGTCCCATCAGCCATTTTATCATTTAGTATAGCAGACAACAGATACTACAGGATCCATCTACTACAATGAATTAGATAAAGTAATTCTTCAAACATTCTTGAAAAATGAGAAATCACTTTAAAACTGAATCTGGAGTCTTCCATTACTGTTTCCCAATTCTGATAGTGCATAAAATGTGTGAAAATTCTTTGTTATATTTTTTATCTTATAATAAATGTGTTTTCCAGAAATATTCTCTGTTTCATTTCTTCTGAAAGGCCTAGCATAAAAACAGTATATATAATAAAAATTTAGTCTCATTTATGTGGAAAAATACACATTAATTTATTCTTAGTTAAGAATACAACATTATTTTATCTTCTGTTCAGTCCTTGATGCATAGATATTACACAGAAAGATAAGACAAAAATATTGAAATGTTAGAAGATAGATGATGGATTTATTTATCACTCCATTTTAATATCTTCAATCAGAAGCATTTGTTTCATTTTACTTTTAACTCATGTACCTATTCTATATTTTCAGGCTCAATACTTGTCTAACAAAAAATATTTTCTCACAATCTTCTTATAAATATATGCTTCAAAACTTTATCAGTTTGTGTTTAGGTTTTCAAGCAAAACATGGACCGCTTGCAAACTCATTTTTTATCAGATTTCTGCAGAACAATATGAAAGCATATTTCTGGCATAGAATTTCTTTATAATTAAAGAACAAAATGTTACTAATAGATGTCAGTCAATGGTGCCATAAATACCGATGGCATCAATACCCACCTTCACACACAGGCTGTATACCTGACCAGGAACCATTAAGCAGGCATGTTCGTTCTGCAGATCCTCTCAGCTGATAACCCATTTCACATGAGAAACGTAGCAGACTTTTTATTTTGAACTCATCCCCTAGTCTAGACCCATGAGCTGGTACTCCTGGATCATCGCAATAGCCAGGATTATTTCCTGTAAAACACAACATGGCAGACACATTATGTGCAAATGTAGTCACAATGAAGATGCTCTTGTGAATAATACTACTAACTGCATTGTTTCTATTATAATTAATAACTTTTCTTCCAGTGTAAGGGCAGGAAAACAAAGCCAAAGATGAAAATGACAAGTCTTTTTAGCCTGCTTCTTATCTCAGAGCTACAGACACATAAACATAGAGTGTGATATAAATAAAAAATAAAAGATAATTGTGAACTCATGAAACACCTCTGTCATTTTTTGCCAGTTCAAAAAATTTGTTGTTTTGACATAAATAATATTTTCTACAAGTTGTATTTTATTGTTCAACTCCTGTGTTAGTAATAACTTGTAATAACAAAAATTAGATAACAGCAATAGTGAAAAGAACCATATTCAAGTTTCTTAACAAATATATTTGAAATACATATATCCACAGAAAAAAATTAATGGCACCTGGCCCTCTGAGTCTGTCAAGAATGGAAAGGACACCTCATAATTTTCCCTACTTTTAAAATTCCTATGCAAGTACTGGTTACAATTTCAGAAGAGAAAGAAGACGCTGCAAAGCAGACCTCTCAAACATGTGCTGGTAGTTCTGATGAACCGGTCAATGGCCGTATCAGATAAAGCAGCTGCTACAGGAAATGTTACGCAAGATCATCAAGAAAGTGTAGTCTCAGTATCAACAATTTCTTGTGTCCTTTTGACATAATATTGCAACTCTCCTAATCCCTCTGTGTCTAAATTGTGGTTCATAGCAACATTATCCTTTTTTTCTCAATTTTTAAGTTATACACCTAGACTGAATTTCTACTATTTTCCCTTACTACTATTTTCCCTTTTCTACTATTTTCCCTTACAAAACTGAATACATTGCGGATGTCCTTAGAAGCCAATCCTTGTCTGAGCTCCTGACTTCAACAAAGCTGTGTAATGTTTTATGGCTTCTTTTAAATTTGCACAGTTAGTCTTGGGGAGAATAAATTGTTCCTGTACTTCCTGACAGCACCAAGAGCATTTAATAGCTTAATAGTATTTGCACATTGTGGCACTAATAAAAAATATTTCTGTAAGTGAAAAGAGGAACATAACATATAAAGTTTAGCATCTTATACCTTTTTTGTGGTGGTTTTTAATCAATATTTTCCTATGTGACCTTTGTTTATACAAAAACAGTGTTCCTAAAAATAAAATTTAATATATGCATCCTTTTCAAGCAGAACCCTGCCAGATTTTAAATACTGTTTTGTCACTTCTATATACTGCAGTATACAACTGTAACATCCAGCTAAGGAGTAAAGCTATGAATTAATGAAAAAGAGAATGAGACAATAGATGAGAATATTTCAATAAATGGTTATAATTCATCTGAGTGGCTACTGGTGAAATTAAAATGTACTTGGACAAGAAACAAAAACTGTCTGTGGTCAAAAATTGCTTGAGAATACCCTTTTTTAATGCAATTACAAGGTGACAGTCAGATGATGGTTGGTACAAGTACCTGAACAGTGAGGGAGAGTCCCACTCCAGTGGCTGTCTTCTTGGCACTCCCTAGTAGAGTTTCCTATGAGCCTTCGACCCCCTGTGCAAGAATAGTGAATTATGGAGCCATATGTAAATTTGTCTCCTGAAAGAATCGCATTGGCAGGTACCCCAGGATGTCCACAAGAAATTGCTAAAAGAGAAAAGAGCACAATATTATAAGATGTCTTCATGGCACAGAGAAAACTTGTCGTAACCTTTAAAGATGATGCTGGTTCCACACAACATAAACTTCTGTCTGGATTTCAACTTCTTCATATCTTCAGTATAGCTTTTGCTATAGATTATTTGCTGGTAATTTGTAAAACTAAACATAAACTACATGTAAAACTAACCCATTTAGTTTAGCCTTTCCCCTAAGGCTTTCTTTCCTCATTCATTCCCATTCAATCTCCTTCCCCACAAATAAAACACATTATTTCTATTAAGTTTGGGAAAGAAGAAACCAAATAAGGTTAATGTTCCAATGTGCTTATATACTACATATATGATATGATAACAGCAACTAGCTTTATCATATCTGTAAAATAACTAGACGCAGTTTACACAGCATACGGAAATTAAAAAAAAAAAAGTTAATCTTTAGTATTATTACACCAATGTGTTGCACTAAAGTGAGCAAGAGGTTTACTGATATTCTGTGTAAATTAAGAATCATATTTATGCTTCATTTAATGTGTACATTTTGTTTGAGAAAAAATTGGATAAACAGTTTTCATACAGAACTTGCAAACAAGTAGTTCAGATCTGTTATATGAGGAAACATAAGCCATCTTCAGGTGAACTAGAAATCAAATTCTGAATGCTTTTTGTGTAAAACTTAGGTCACTCAATAGAGAAAGAAAAAGCAAAGAAAATAAAAATTGTACATAACTTTAGTAAACAGTCACACAACTTAAACAGGCAACACTTAAATGGCGCAATTGAACTTGAGCAGCCTTGTGAGTTACTTGAATGAAGGTCTATGGGTCAAATATATTTTTATTTAAAAAAAGACTGTTATTCTGATAACTTATTCCTGACATACACCAAAATTATTGGTGTTATACTGGGTCCCATGATAATGTCAAACTGACTGCACAATGGATTTCTGCCAAAAGGCATGGTCCTGACTACTGTTCTTTCACTGCTGTGTGTTTCTCTTGCTTTCCGTGGTTTGGCTTAAGCATTCATGTAGCAAATGGTAAACCAAGTCAGGACACTGATCTGTCTGAATAGTACTCCCACAAAAAAAAAAAAAAAAAAAAAAGTGTTTAGTTTTCAGCCAGATCAGTTACCCTAATAAGGTTGCCTCAATGCCATGAAAATGCTAGTCCTGCCACAATTCTGGAAGGAGCTGCAGTGGGTAATCAGAGTTTCTGGTCACCAAAATGTGGTTGTGTAACGACCTGTAGCGAGTAGCATGAAATTTTCCCAGTTCATGAAGAAGAAAAGAAGCATCCGTTTTTAAGCAATTACACTCATAGGTAAGTGTATTATTGCCTTGCATATAAAAAAAGCAGTGTGTTTCAGTTTTTTCACTCTTGAACTAGAATTGTTCGTAGTAAACATTGTGTCCACTTTGGGTTCAACTCGCCTGCCTCTCCAAGCACTTTGCCCTATCACCAAAAGCAATCGTACACTTGGAAAAAAGAGATTATTACTGATAACCTTTGAAAACTAAATCTCTCTCACAGGCCTTGAAAAGACTCTGAATGACTGCATGAGTAGATAAACACATCTTTCTCATAGAAAGAGCCCTATTTGTTTCACTGCATTTTTCTTAGGGGAAAGAATGTTAATTTTTTCCCAGTGATATTTAGGATTCACATAGTGTTTTAGTCCATTAGCAGCAAATTAGCAGCAGCTAATCCAGTAGGTAATTGAGGAATGTAGGCACCTCCAAGGCTCATTTTAAAGTTCCTAGGATCTCAATCAATAGTCCCCAGAGCAAGGTCTGGAGTTCTTGTTCTGAGGGGATGAACACCTATGACTTTCCCTGACCTCTGCCTCAAAACAGAAAGCCACGTAAATGCTATTAAATTTCCAAAATACATGATGTGGAAAGATGGGTAGCTATTCTAGGTGATTTAGATTCCCCATCCTCTTCTGCTCCTTGCCTAAGGAGTGTCCCTTCATACTGAAACCCCAGTCCTGGAAGCAGGAAGAGATCACCAACAGAATTGGGCCACAGATTTTAACAATGTTTTTTCTGAGATACAAAAAGTGAGGCACATGCTTGCATCAGTAGAATATTATTGACAAATGAACAATGTTATGCAGCTTTTTTACATTTTAAATGTTGCATTTTGCTTAGTTATTATTGAAATGTGAATAAACCCAGTTTTCAGATTATAGCTCTTATTGACAGATATTGAAAGTGTAGATTGTTGTGAAAATCAAAACAAAACTTCTTGGGTCATGTGGATATTAGATACACAGTTGTAGGAAGAAAGCAAGTATAAAAAAGAAACAAATTCACTAACCTAGTTACATTTATTGCTCTGATTGGTATATAAATATTAATTCATAATATAAATCATTTAAGCAAACAATCACAATTCTGCAAAGCAAAAACTTAAAAATCATCCGATGTTTTTGCAAATTACAGTATACTTTCATTTCATTTATTTCCTACGATCACATTGTAATTCAGAAATCTAATGTAAGAGTGATCAGAGAAGAAAAATATCTCAATGGAAAATGAAAGTCAGACAAAAAGTTTTCTAGAGATCTGAAGATCACTGAATTGATTACAGGAAACAACAGACTTCCTCCCTCTCTGAGGAAAAAGTGATGGAGTAAGTATGAAGTGATGTTATGAAAAGACCTTCTCGAGCAACATTTTCCAATACAACATTTCATAGATTTGTTCTCACATACACACTTCAACACATCTGAAAAAAAAAAATTCTGAGATAGGCATTAATGAACTTAGACTATCAATCTAAATGATAAAACATAAATATATATAAATTTTAGATTTCCCTAGCTGTTTTCAAATACCTTAGCAATACACCAAAAGTGGAAATTAACCTTAACTTTCTGGCATTTGAAATAATAGCTCCACAGATCCCTCTAAACCCATTTTTGTAATGAGAATTTGCACCACACCTTGTCTTAGTGTTTGCTTACTGAGTTGCACAATTTGAATGCATTGCTCCTAAAATCCAGTTTTGTTCCACAACAGATGGCTAAATTTTTTTTTGTCTATCATGACTGAAAATCACGTACCACTCTTTAATGTTAATCTAACTGAATGAATACTTACACAAACACTTTGGTAGTGATCTATCCCATAAGCCACTAGCTTTACAGGTCAAAGCAGATGAGCCCAACAGATAAAAGCCCTTCTTGCAATGGTATGCCACACTTGTTCCATATTTGAAACTCTCAGGATAATTCTGCTGGCCATGTCGAATTGCATTTTCCACAAAGCCAGGATCAGAACAGTTCACCACTGTAAGACAAACAATGTTCATCACTGATGCATAATAGCAATGTAATAAATAAAGTGTACTAGTGATTTTTTTGTTGCTTCACTAGCAGTTCATTACTATGGTCCATTCGATATCCATTGTGGTTTTTATTTGATTTAAATGTAAGATATCTTGACTCCTAGGTAAGTCTCTAGATCTTTTTGCTTTGAAAGTAATACTGTGGTTTTATTCCAGTTCTTGAAATAGTCTTGGACACAGAAGTGGTTCAAAGATAAAAGAGAAATTGGATGAATTTTTAATATTTCTCTTGGTAGGCTTAGTTTGGTCTTCTGTGTAATTTCTATGTGAAGGCAACCAAATTAAAATCAAACTAGTACATAGTTTAAATAACATTTTCATTTTCATTTTTAACTTCCTGTAATGAGAAAAATTGCTTCCAACATTAACAATAATATTTTCCGCTATTAACGTGTAGAACAGAAAAAGGAAGATGGTGAAAAATCAAATGTTTAATACTGCAAGAATCTTCCTTCATGCAGTTTGCATTTTTAGTTTATTTTATGGTGGGTTTATTTGTTTGTTTTCTGTGAGAATGAAGTTTCTTTCCATTTTGCTTTTCTAGGGCTCTAAATGTTAAATATAAATGGGTTATACTTATAGTACCATGGCTAAAATAACGATTGTTCAGAATAGGTGAAAATAAAAGTTGCAATTGTGCTTTAAAGAAATTAAAATTTAAGAAGTTCTGCATTCATTTTTAACTTTATTTCATTAATTTTCATCCAGTTTGCTCCTACATGAAAGCTAGCACAGAAACAAAAAGGTAGACGTGAGTAAATTTGAAGACTGATATAATTCCTGGAAGCTACTTACCGGGTTTAGCTGCCTTAAAAAAAAAAAAAGGCTAATTCTTGTTCCTTAAAACTAGTTAAAATAAAATACTGAAAATGACTGAAATAAGACCTTTGAAACAAAGATCTGTATTTATGTTCTTTATTAGGAAGATGGGTTGTATACTGTTCAGCTAGATCAGATGATAATGAATATAAGACAGAGCTTTGACTCACCCTCGCAAGACTGGAAGTTATTCTGTTCTGCTTCCAACATTTAAAAGCACGAAGTATAGCAAGAATGCATGCATTATACTGTACAATTTCTTAACTTGCAATGATCATAAGACGCTAGATATTATCAGTTCTTTCAATTTTAAAAAATATTTACATATGCATTGAGCAGTGTACAGGTGTTGTTTTGGTGATCTACATTACTGATTCAAGTCTGTCTGACTTTGAATTTACTTTCACAAATACACACGTAACCTAGTTCCCTTTGACTGAGGGTTATCAGTTTCCAATATCTGGATTTGCAAGAGTGACATTATGCTTCTCTTGCCTTTCACTACTCCTAGGATACAAAGGACCTTAATTGCACACCTTGGTTTCAGCTCTGGCAAGAGGGCATGGTAGCATTATCATGCTTGTTCACTACCTTTGGATCAAAAGATTGTCTATAAATCTAAACTTTTCCTTAGTTTCATACTTCTACCTTTTGGACAGTTTTCCATTGAAAAATACAGAAAATATAAACCTAATTTATAAATTATCTCTGATATGCAGAACCTTTTGAAAATTTTTTCTATATATATTAAACGGTAGCAGGATAAAACAAACAGTCCTAGGAGCAGTTTCAGAAATCAAATCTGTTCACTGGAATTAAAGGCACTAAGGACCATGCTAGAGGCCCATATGCCCTCTTATACCCTTTTCTGACCATCAAAAAATCTTAACCTCTGCTCTTCAAATCAACAAATCATCAAACCACTGACAGCAGGAGGGATAAAGAATAACCACCTCCAGATCATAAGACAGTCTTTGAAATAAGTCACTTTGATATTGTTTAGGCTGATTAAGAGCTTAGACCTTATCGCATACTGAGAGCTTATCTACCACCTCCATTTTAAAAAGTCATGGCTATGTTTTTTAGAGAGTCTATGTCAAGACAGAATTAATGCTCTGCAACCACTTCACTGTGAGGAACACTGCTTTTGTTGATAAATTTGCTATGTTCACACAGCGCCTCCAAGATAGGGCTGCTCTGGGGAGAAAAGAGATGCCTTGCCTGAAGTTCTGAATGAGGGAAAGGAATGTAGCAGGTGCCCTGGTACTCTCTTTTGCTGGAATGGGGAGGGTACTAGACATCTACAGGCACAAGGTTTTTTTTTAAAAAAAAAGGCTTTCCAGAGCAAAAATGCAGACAACGTGCCATGGTTTCATGGACTACCAGTCATGTGCAAATCTCATTTGGAGTTGTAAAAACTCCAGAATACCGGAAAGTACTATTCCTTTAACCATAATACTGAATGTTTATTTTAGTTTTAGACCAAAGTGACAAACTTTTATTTTAAACACTGAAAGCTTATTTTTATGAAATACTGCACATATTAAAATACTGTAAAAGTAAAATAAACAGTAAAATGACATTTTAGAATTTGCACAAAAGAAAATTTTTCTATTGCAATTCAGTGAAAACCACTGTTATTGCACTCAAATATACACTTGCTTAGTTGAAACAGAACATTGAAACTATTTGGCCAAATTCTTCCAATCTGAATATTAGAATATTCTATTGAAATATAAGAAAAAATATGAAGCATATTGTAAAACTCTCACATCTATTGAAGGTTTTGCACATTCATTAATACAACTCTTTTCAAAAATTATTCTCATCCTGTGGATTACTCAACTCTTTTAATTTATAACAAGCATTCAAAACAGCTGTCTTTTTTTTTAGTACAGTTGAGATTACTAAAATAAAACAAAATAAAATAAAACTGCTTAAAATTGAAACTTTGGTTTAATGATTAAGCCTGCCAGGTTAGCTTCTCAAAAGCCAGTATTAGAAATCAAGAAAAGAGACCATTGTTTCATGAAGATATGCTGCCCTAAAGCTACCCAAAAGCAATTCTAACTGAATTATCTTTGAAACACAATAGGGAGAACAGAAAAACTTAATCCTTCATGGAGGTCAGAAATAAGGAATGTTCAAGGAATATATTACAGTCCCAAAGCATCAATATGTCTGTGTGACACAGTGTTCTCATTTTTGTACCAGTTGTATCTGTTTAGCCAACTCAGCGATGAATAAAATACATAGTCACTGCATGCATAATTTACATATGTGCTCTTTGCAACAAAATTCTTGTATTATACATGAAGTCTTGTGAAATGATTATGCAAGAGAATACTGTCCCTCGAGCTAAAAAGTAAACAAAATTATACCTGCAGTGTCATTTAACATCAGCTATAGATTTTT